CTGGCTGCCAAGAAAACCGCCCTAAAAAAATGTATAAAAAGACAGCTAAAAAGCCTGACGGGGTCTCACCCCAGCTTGGCGGTGAGAACCCAACGCGTTGGAAATAATAAACCTCTTGCTAATTGCAGTGCTCGTGGTCTTGTGGTCTCTTCGAGGCGAGTCTTCCCGTTCTATGTGAGGTTGGGATTCATCCCAAATCTTACATTTTTGGGGGCTCGTCCGGGATTTGACTCGCTCTCCCAGGGATCAAAAGACTGAGGAGCAGAGGAACGCCCGGGCAGCAGGTACCGCAGTTGTTTGTTTTATTGTTGTGTCCCTATTTGCTTCTTTGTTGTTGTTGTCTGTAATCTAGTCTCTGGTTTTCTGTTATCTTGGGTTCGAGTCCCAGGATCTGGGCTCCAGGTGGGGCCGTCTGGTGTGGACTTGCAGTGGGACAGACGTGTCGGCACGCTGCAGCCACCAATCGTGGAGGATGCTCCCGATTGTTCTGGGGAGGGTAAAAATAGGGAGGCCTCTGGGTCAGAGACCCTTCCCAGGCCCTCCATCTGAAGGAGGTGAACGAGTTCGTCTCCACAGGAGGTCTCTAAGACAGAGACCCCTTCTGAGTTCTCTGGTTATCCGGCTGTTGTGCCCGTGGCAGGGGCCCATCAGTGTGATCGTTTGTGTTTGTCTGGTTGCGTGTGTGCTGGGACTAACAACTTATTGGGGCGACATGGGATAGGCAGTTTCAACTCCTTTGGATCTGACTCTGAGACACTGGACTGATGTTAAAACTAGGGCTCATAACCTCTCTGTTTAAGTTAAAAAAAATAAGTGGATAACCCTATGCTCATCAGAGTGGCCAATGTTCCAACTTGGGTGGCCCACTGAAGGTTCTTTTTCCCTGCCACTGATCGTGGCAGTCAAGAGCAGGATTTTTAATTCTTCCTCTAACGGGCATCCTGACCAGGTCCCATATATTGTTGTGTGGGAAAACTTGGTCATAGACCCACCTTCATGGGTTAGGCCCTTCCTCCCATCAACAGGTACAACAACCGTGTTAGCCCTCAAAGAAGACAAAGAAAAACCTCCTGTACTGCAGGATGCAAATCCAGATCTTCTCCTCTTAGATCCCCCTCCTCCTTACCCCCCAGCTCTTCATCCACAGGCCGTGCAGCCGTCAGCCCCAACAGTGGAGGTGCAGAGTTCCGGACCAGCCCGAGGGACCCGCAGTTGGCGGGCAAGCTCACCAGATGCTGTCCCCACATTTCCTCTTAGGGCATACGGCCCCCCAGATGAGGATGGCAACCAGCCCCTGCAGTACTGGCCTTTCTTCTCCTCTGATCTTTATAATTGGAAATCTCAAAACCCCCCTTTCTCTGAACACCCCCAAGGACTCACTAACCTTGTAGAATCCCTCCTTTTCACCCATCAGCCCACATGGGATGATTGTCAACAGCTTCTCCAGGTTTTGTTCACTACAGAAGAGAGACAGAGGATCCTCCTAGAGAGCAGAAAACATGTTCCAGGACCTGACAGCAGGCCCACCCTCCTCCCTGATGTCATCGAGGCTGGGTTCCCTCTAACTCAGCCTCGCTGGGACTTCAACTCGGCAGAAGGTAGGGAGCACCTAAAAGTTTACTGCCAGGCTCTAATGGCAGGTCTCCGTGGGGCAGCTAAGCACCCCACCAATTTGGCTAAGGTAAGGGAAGTGACCCAAGAACCCAATGAGTCTCCGTCAGCATTTTTGGAAAGACTCATAGAGGCATTCCGCTGGTTTACTCCCTATGATTCTAGCAGTGAAAAACACAAGGCTACAGTAACAGTTGCCTTCATTGATCAGTCCTGTAAAGACATTAAGAAAAAGTTACAAAAGCTAAAAGGCTTACAAGATAAGACCCTGAGGGAAATAGTACAGATAGCTGAGAAAGTTTTCACAAAATTCTGGCCACTGTAGTTAAAAAGGCTAAAGTACCTAGTGAGACAGCACCTGGCGACAAAAAGGAGTCCCTAACAAAGGACCAATGTGCCTATTGCAAGGAGAAAAGACACTGGGTCTGAGATAATCCTAAGAAAAGAAACAGAAAGCCTCAACCCCCCACGGTCCTAGCCCTGCAGGAAGACAGCGACTAGGGGAGACGGAGTTCGGACCCCCTCCCTGTACCCAGGGTAACATTAATAATGGAGGGGAAACCTACCCAATTCATGGTAGGCACAGGAGCTGAACACTCGGTACTTTCACAAGCTGGAGGGCCCCTCTTCCCCCAAAAAAATCATGGGTACAAGGGGCCACTGGAAATAAACAATATTCATGGACTACCCGAAGAACAGTGGATCTTGGCATGGGCCGGGTATCCCACTCGTTCATTGTCATTCCAGAGTGCCCTTACCCACTGTTAGAAAGAGATCTCCTAACCAAAATGGGCGCCCAAATCCATTTCAGCCCTGAGGGATCTCAGGTGTTAAATCAACAGGGAAAGCCTTACCAGGTATTAACTCTAAGATTAGAAGATGAATACCAGTTGTTTAAACAGCAAAAACAAAAGACTGAACAAATGGACTGGTGGTTGAGCCAATATCCACAGGCATGGGCTGAGACGGCAGGAATTGGGAAGGCTAAAAACAGACCCCCTGTCTACATAGAACTAAAAGCTCAAGCCAGTCCCATAGCAGTCCGGGAGTACCCAATGTCCCGGGAGGCACGAGAAGGCATCAAGCCCCACATCATGCGCTTGCTCCAGCTGGGGGTCTTGCGGAAGTGCCAATCTGCTTAGAACACTCCCTTGTTGCCGGTCCATAAGCCTGGTTCAAATGACTACCGGCCAGTCCAAGATCTCCGAGAGGTAAATAATCGTGTGGCCGATCTCCATGCCACCGTTGCTAATCCTTACAATCTCTTAAGTTCATTACCTCCAGAAAGGACCTGGTACACAGTACTAGACCTCGAAGATGCATTTTTCTGCTTGCTGTTGGCTCCAAAAAGTCAAGATTGCTTCGCTTTTAAGTGGAGAAACACCGAGGCAGGTCTGACTGGGCAACTCACCTGGACCCATTTGCCTCAAGGATTCAAAAATTCTCCTACTATATTTGATGAGGCCCTCCACCAGGACCTAGCCATGTTCCGGTCCTCCAGCCCCCAGGTAACTCTGTTACAGTATGTAGATGACCTCCTCCTAGCAGCAGCCAACAAAAATCTATGCCTGGAAGGGACGAAGCGCTCCTTACAGAGCTGGGGGAGCTGGGCTACTGAGCCTCGCCAAGAAGGCCCAGATCTGCAAACAACAGTTTAGTTACCTGGGGTACTTCCTCAAAGACGGGAAAAGATGGTTATCAAAGGCCAGAAAACAAACAGTGTTTCACCTACTGCCACCCTCTAATCAGAGGCAAGTCAGAGAATTCCTGGGTACTGCTGGGTTTTGCCGGTTGTGGATACCCGGTTTTGCTGAAATGGCAGCCCCCTTATATCCCCTCACTAAGACTAGCCAGCCCTTCAAGTGGGATGAAAAAGAACAACAGGCGTTTGATAAAATCAAAACAGCCTTAATGTCTGCATCAGCCTTGGGACTTCCTAACGTAACCAAACCTTTCCACGTGAATGTGGCAGAGAACAGGGGGATTGCAAAGGGGGTGCTAACCCAAAGACTGGGACCTTGGAACAGACCAGTGGCCTATCTATCCAAAAAAACTAGACCCAGTTGCCTCAGGGTGGCCAGCATGCCTGAGGATCGTGGCTGCAGTTGCAATTCTAGTAAAAGATGCTGATAAATTGACTATGGGACAAAACTTGGTAATTTCAGCGCCTCATGCCTTGGAAAATGTTGTCCGCCAGCCTCCTGACCGCTGGCTCACTAACACACGCATGACTCATTATCAGGCTTTGTTATTAAACCCAGATCGAATAACCTTTGCTCCACCAACAAGTTAAAATTTAGCCTCGCTGATGCCGGATCCAGACCTCGACCCGCCCATTCATGACTGCCGACAAGTGCTTGCAGAAGCCCACGGGTGGAAAAAAGACTTGACAGGTCAGCCTCTACCAGATGCTGAGGCCATTTGGTTCACAGATGGCAGCAGTTTCCTGGACAATGGAGAACGGAAGGCTGGGGCAGCAGTGGTAGATGGCCAGAAACTGATATGGGCTCAGGTTCTGCCTGCCGGGACATCTGCTCAAAAAGCGGAGCTCATTGCTCTCACAAAAGCACTGAAACTGGGAAAAAATAAAAAGATCAACATCTACATGGACAACAGGTATGCCTTTGCCACTGCTCATGTACACGGTGCAATATATAAACAGCGAGGTCTTTTGACTTCAGAAGGAAAGGAAATCAAAAACAAAGCAGAGATCATAGCCCTGCTGGAGGCCCTCCTCGGGCCACTAAAAGTGAATATCATACATTGCCCAGGGCACCAAAAAGAAAACTCCCCAATTGCAAAGGGAAATAACCTGGCCAACTCGGAGGCTAGAGCGGCCGCCCATGGGTCCACGGCTGTACTGCTGGTGAGTGTCCCTGAGCCAAAAGGGCCCAAATACCAACCACTATTCTGGTACTCAGCAGAGGACATAGCAGAAATGTCCAAAGATTCCAGTAATTATTCTGACCCCAGCACTGGCCACTGGCACACAGCCACAAATAAGCTTATTTTGCCACAAAAACAAGCACAGGCCATGCTTAAACAAATGCATCAGTGGACCCACCTGGGGACAGACAAGATGATCCAGACTGTTAAAAAAAACTGAATACCATGTCCTGGGACTTAGACGACTGGTTGAGCAAATAGTCAAACATTGTAAACCCTGCCAAAAAGTAAATGTATGCAAAAGCGCCACTAAACTTGGCCAAAGACTCAGGGGGGACCGACCAGGACAATACTGGGAAGTAGATTTCACTGAGATCAAACCTGGTAAATATGGTTATAAATATCTCCTAGTTTTCATAGACAC